AGCGAGTCAGTAAGCTGCGCCAGCGCGCTTTTAAATGCCCAAATGCACATTCCACCACCATTCGGCACTTGCTCAGCCTGTAGTTGAACAGGTCCTGACTACTGTCCAGGCTGCCTGTGTACGGCTTCATGAGCCATGGCATTAAGGGGTAGGCTGGGTCCCCAAGGATCACGATAGGCATTTCAACATCCCCAACTGTTATTTTCTGGTCTGGGAAGAAAGTCCCTTCCTCCAGCTTTCGAAACAGAAGAGACTGCCTGAAGACGCGAGCATCATGTACTCTTCCCGGCCAGCCCACGTTGATGTCGGTGAAACGTCCCTTGTGATCCACCAGGGCTTGCAGCAGCATTGAAAAGTACCCCTTGCGGTTTATGTAGTCGGTGGCTTGGTGCGCCGGTGCCAAGATAGGGATATGGGTTCCGTCTATCGCCCCACCACAGTTTGGGAATCCCATTGCAGCAAAGCCATCCACTATGGTCTGCACGTTTCCCAGAGTCACTACCCTTGATATCACCAGGTCTCTCATTGCCCTGGCAACTTGGATCACAGCAGCCCCCACAGTAGATTTGCCCACTCCAAATTGATTCCCCACTGACCGGTAGCTGTCTGGCGTTGCAAGCTTCCACAGGGCTATCGCCACTCGCTTCTGCACTGTGAGGGCTGCTCTCATCCTGGTATTCTGGCGCTTCAGGGCAGGGGAAAGCAAGTCACAAAGTTCCATGAAAGTGCCCTTACGCATGCGAAAGTTTCTCAGCCACTGGGCATCGTCCCAGACCTGCAACACGATGCGGTCCCACCAGTCTGTGCTTGTTTCCCGGGCCCAGAATCGGCGGTCCACGGCATGAACCTGCCCCAGTAACACCATGATTTCCACATTGCTGGGGCCTGTGCCTTGTGAGAGGTCCATGTCAATTTCCTCATCACTATCGTCGCCGCGCTGCAATCGCCTCCTCCTCAGCTGGTCCTGGTTTTGCTTTGGCATGTCCAGGAGGCTCTGCATATACTCCAGGACAATGCGCGTGGTGTTCATAGTGCTCATAATTGCCGCGGTGATCTGAGCGGGCTCCATGATCCCAGTGCTGGCTATGGCGTCTGGTCTGAAAAAAGGCGCGAAAGTAGTATCTGACGGACCAGGGGAAGAAGGGAGGGAGGGAGGGAGGGAGGGGCGAGTGACGACATGGCGTACAGGTACAGGGAATTAAAATCAAGAAAGGTGGCTTTGCATCAGGGAGAAACACAAACAACTGTCACACAGAATGGCCCCCCCCAAAGATTGAACTCAAAAGCCTGGGTTTAGCAGGAGGGAGGGGGGAAGCAAATGAATACAGAATAAATCTATTTTTTACATCTTAAGACGACGGTGCAGCATGACTGATAGCCCTTGGCATTTTCTGGGTGCTTGGCAGCAAATACTGGGTGCTTGGCAGTTAGCCTTCAGGTCTATTGCACCATCTGATACCCACTGCAGTATGACAACGACGGATACCAGTCATAATATACTATCTTCTGCCCAAAAGGCAAGGGGTTGCTGCTGTGTAGCAATCTAGCCCCACATCTGCCAGCACCCAGATCGCCATCGGCCTCTTCTGGGTGCTTAGCAGACAATACTGGGCACTTGGCAGAAAATAGCATACTACGACTGATAACCATCATTGTCTGCCCGGGTGCCCATGATCGACAGCCACTGCAGTATGACAACGACGGATACCAGTTGTAATAAACCATCTTCTACCAAAAGGCAAGGGGCTGGCGTAATGCAGCCCCACGGCTGCCAGCCCCACAGCTGCCCGCACCCAGATCGCCAATGAAGGCTACCAGTCATGCTGCACTGTCTACTGCCAAAAGGCAGTAAGCTGCTGCTGCTGTTTAGCAATGCAGTCCCACGTTTGCCGGCACCCGGAAGACATATGGTGACGGTGAGCTGAGCTGAGCGGGCTCCATGCTTGGCGTGGTATGTTGTCTGCACAGGTAACCCAGGTAAAAAGGCGCGAATCTATTGTCTGCCGTTGCTGTGACGGCGGGGGAGGGGCCTGACGCAATGTACCCAGAACCCCCCGCAGCACTGCTTTGCATCATTCAGGCATTGCGATATCAACCCATAATTCCAATGGGCGCCGGAGACTCCGGGAACTGTGGGATAGGTACCATAGTGCAATGCGCCGGAAGTCGAAGCTAGCCTCGGTACTGTGGACGCGGTCCGCCGACTTCATGCACTTAGAGCATTTTATGTGGGGACACACACAATCGGCTGCATACAACCGGTTTCTATAAAACCGGCTTCTATAAATCCGACCTAATTTTGTAGTGTAGACATACCCTTAGGGATTGTCCGTACTGCAGCCGGGGGCGTGTCTGCAGACCTGAGCCAGCTTTGCTTTAGTGAGTGGCACTAAAAACAGCAGCGGGGCAGTGGCCCGGCTTTCAGCCTGGGCCGTGTGAGCCCCTCTGACCCCCAACGTATGTACCAAAGCCTGCACTGACACTGCTTCGCTGCCAGTTTTTAGTGACGCTCGCTAGATCCAGGCTGGCTCGGGCACGTCCACCCGAGCTGCAGTCACAGCTGCCGACTGCAGTGTAGACGTCACCTGGTCCCCTCCACGCCGAGTTCCGGCTGACGCTGGAGGGGGTGAATGAGCAGCGGGAGGGATGGAGGGCAGGGAGGATGCAGCGGCAGGTGGGGGAAGGGGTCAGCAGCCAGAGGATGAGCCGTGATTAGGACGGGAAGGGGTCAGCTGTGAGTGGGAGAAATGGAGGGTGGGAAGGGAGGGGAGGAAGCAGCGGGGTGAGACAGGAAACCAGCAGTAATGGGGAAGGGTGTATGGGAGGGGAAGGGGCCAGCAATGGGGGGGGTGGGGATGATGGAGCAGCAGTGGTGGGGAGTGGGCTGTGGCTGTGGGGGAAGCGGGGCTGCGGTGCTCAGTGGAGGAGGATTCAGACCGTTAGCAGCCAGGAAGGGGATGTGGTAAGAACAGGAGCATTGCAGTGTGTAGTAAATCCGCTGTCGTGGATCGAATATGGGGGCAGCCGGCGTTCGCTTTATGGAGACTGAACAGCGTCGATGCCGGCTGCTTCCTTCCTTCTGGTGCTCTCTAAACCTGTGAGCGATGCAGTCTGGGAACCCCTGAGCAGCGTGACTGGCGTGTAAAGTGATCACAGGTTGTCACACGGTCTCCGGGGCCGACGCCCTCGCCCTACAGGAGCGTTGGAGCAGTTCCTCGCTTTCGACTCAGTATTTGCAGCATCTCGGTCCCTGTGTGGATGTCGGCGCAGGCGGCGGTTAGCTGGGCTCTGGGGCTGTGACACTCAGACAGCCTGGGAAAGCAGGGAAGAGCTGAGATACGGCAGCCCCTTGACCGCCATGGAGAGCCAGGCAGCGAAGGGGAACCGGCTCGCTGGAGCGTCCCTGGCTGGAGAGAGGCTGTGGCTTGCACAGGTGGGGTTGTATTTTCAGTGTTGGCTGTAAATGGCCAGGCCCTGTGGGGGAGCAGCAGGGAGCTGATCACGGTTAGGAGCAGGGCAGCTGGTTTGCACTCGCAGCTGCTGTATCCTGTGCGTGCATCCGGGATCAAGGCCATGTCCTGCGGGGTGGGGGGACTTGGCAATAGCCCCTTGTCTCCCTTTATTCTCCTGCCTTCCCTGTCCCCTTCCTTCTGTTGGTGAGGTTTTCACAGGTGCATCCACCCCAATGGGCTTCTCCAGCCAGGCCTGAACCACCAGCTGGGATTCTGACTGGGGTGTGTGGTGGTGGCAGGGGGGGATATATATCCTGGGGGGCCTCATATTGCACCCCCATTTGAAGATCTGCCCTGTCTCTCTCCCTTCACCACCTCATGTTCCCTTTTCCTGCTGTTCTTTGGGGCCAGTTTTTCCCCGTACGTGTGTGTGTGGACACAGACGATCCTGCCGCATGTTTCCTGTTCCCACGTGTTATTAACCCCCCTGTGTGAACCCCACCATCCTGCACAGCTGCTGGGTGGGACTGCAGCTCCCTCAGCTCAGTGCGCACCTGACTGTCGCTGTGACTCACATTGATTGGGAGCGGGATTTTTCCCATTCACCCCGGCACTGACTGCTGAGGGAAGGGTGGCCTAGCGGTTTGGGGGCTAGGCCAGGTGTTGAAAGACCTGGGTTTGATTCCCTGCGCGACCCTGGGCAAGTGTTAATCTCTCTTTGCCTCAGTTTCCCATCTGTACAATGGTGGGAACAGTAATTCCCTCTCTCACAAGGCTGCTGGGTGGGTAAATTCATTAACAGGCTGTGAGGTGTTCACATATTGTGGAGATGGGGCCAGAGAAGACCTTACCTAGATAGGGCAGGAGATTTTTTTTATGTTGGGGGCTGATCTAGTTCCCCCAGACCACAGGACTCCTCTCCCCCAGGGGCTGCCTGGGTTCATTCCGTCCATATCTGAGATCATCATGAATCATCAGTGAGCAAAGATTCAAAAATCCTTCAGAGGAACTGAGTAAAGCTGGTGGGAACGTTTTCCATCAAAATATGTAGCTTCATTGAAGCTAAAATGTTTTGCACAGTTGTATCGATTTTGATGGGAAGGTTTCTGAGGTCCACAGCTCTCTGGTCACTTCTGAAGAGAGAGAGGAGCATATGTCTACACTGCGGGAAAAGGTGTGTTCTCAACTGGGGTGGGTGACCCGCATTAGCTCACTTGGGTGAAAATAGCAGCGAAGACACAGCAACTTGGGCTAGCAGCTCACATTAAAGCCTGAAATGGAGCCTCGGGTTGAACCTGGTGATATTCCGAACAAAAAGAGCTTTCGGCCATATTAGTAGCTACTTCCATTGCTTCCCTGTGACTCTGCGGAGATTGTAGGCTCCAGAGCGACACAGACAGACTGACACTGCTGGGGTCCTATTCCATAGATTGATAACGGCAGCCATTCAGCACAATGCTCCTTGCACCAACACAGCTCAGACCCTGGTGCAGCTACTGACTCTGGGTACCCCACTCTCAGGAGAATTAAGGGCTTTTTCTCTTTCAGGGAACGTCTCTAGCTGCAAGCTCAGGAAACATGCTGCATGTACAGTCGCAGTGAGCGTTGTACTTGTCATTCTGATTGTTGCTGTTGTTGTTCTGGCAGGTGAGTGGCTGATCCCAGTGTCTGTGTGTTCCATTTACATGGAGCTGGCCACACTGCTCAGGGCTGTGAAAAATTCCATGCCCGGAGCACCACAGTTAGGTCAACCCAACCCCCGGTGTAGACACGGCTGGATCAACAGAAGGGTCCTTCCATCGACCTAGCTACCGCCTCTTGGAGAAGTGGATTAACTACCGCAATGGGAAAAACCCTTCTGTTGATGTAGGAAGTTTCTATGTTCCGGCACTACTGTGGAATGGCTGCAGCAGCGTAGCAGTGCCATTGTCGTGCAGACATACCCAGAGTCACAGGCTGTCTCCTCTCGGGCATCAGCCGTGGGGGCCAGGAATGCATCTTCAGACTCTCCCTCCTGGAGTCTTGTTTGCGATGACAAAACTGGCCCTTTAAACTGTCTTCCTGGGTAAGTGTGTATCATTGTAATGAAAGGAAGAAACGTCAGTTTCTGAGATAATACAAACAGGAAAGGAATTTCTCCTCCAAAGAGCGTACAGTCTCGGATGTCTGCGCTACGGAGACTACACTGGCATAGCTGCGTCACTCTGGCTATGCCGGCATAACACCATAGTACAGACCCAGCCTACACTGACAAAGATTTTTCCGTCGGTGTTGGAACACCACCTCCCTGAGCAATGTTACCCACGTCAACACCAGCCTTCTTCCGTCAGCATAGCTGCGTCTACACTAGAGGTTATGTCGCTTTGGCTATGTCACTCAGAGTGTGTGTGTGTGTTTTTTCACACCCCTGTCCGAGGTAGCTATGTCAACCTATCTCTTAAGTGTAGACCAACCGTAAATAGACTAAACAAACTGAGACCGAGGGTAGGAGAAAGAGAAACCATGAATAAAGTGGCCTTACGGAGATCATTAGCTGGATGTGTCCAAAGCTCTTACACGTTTTAATGCATACGGAAATGTGGCTCTGTAGATATTATTAAACATTGTACAACCACATCATAATAGTTACTTGTAGTTATCCAGAGGAGCTGTATTTCTGGTAACCCCCAAGCATGGGACAAACCACAGGTTAAGGTCGCACTTTGGAGCCTTTCCTCATTTTCATCTGGTGGGTATTTGCATCTGGGGGAGCAGGGGAGGGAAAGGATGGGCTCTTACCCTTATGTTGCTCTCTCAATTTCAGTGCAGGTACTTAAAGCACAGCCCCAGCTTGTGGCCTGGTGCCCAGACGGCTGGATCGGATACCGAGGGAAATGCTACTATTTCTCCGAGGCTGAAGAGAACTGGAACAACAGCCAGAGACACTGCTCTGCACTCGGCGCTTCCCTGGCTGTGATTGACAGCGAGCAGGACCTGGTGAGAAAAACCCCACCCATTCTGGGGGCGATGGGCTATGCTAGAGTTATGGTCAAGGTCTTCCAGGCGCTCCCTGGCCTAGGCCCAGGGTGTCTATAAGAGCCTAAAGCTCCAGGATGAAGACCTTGGTTGACATATCTACTCCTCTGGCACCATTTAAGGGGAAAATTTCTCAGTGAGGGAGATGCAGCTTCCTTGGTGGCTGGTCCTAGCTTGGGGAATGGACTCCCCCAGGCACTAAGGACCATCCAGAACCTCACCACCTTCTGCTCCGAGAGCGAGGTGCACTTTGAGCGGTCTTCTCGGATATCCATGTAACCCACTGGTGAGCGTGTCACTGGTTACACTCTGTGCTCATCCACAGAGGATCTGTGCTGACTGGAGAGGGTTGCTCCGTTAGCTCCAGCTGGCGTGACTTGGGCTTTTTCGTTATGGAGTTCCTAGTATGTCAGCCAAGATGGCCGCCTTCCCATAAACACGTAGCGTATGCACTTCAAATAACAAAACCCTACCAAAACAAACTGCTCCACCACACACACACGACTCTCCCCCTTGGGAGAGAGAACGAATCACATGTAACATGTTAATCACGTCACTTAATTCATGAGTGGAAGATGCTCAACTACAAGGGGGATGGGGTAAGACACCCACGTAGGACAGTGTAGACACACGGGATGATGCATATTGTTAAAATTGCCTAAGCCACTGGTCCCCAAACTATGGGGTGTGGCCTCCCCTAGGGAGGCACGGAGGAACAATCGGGGAGGGGCATATGGCGGGGTCCGAGCCAGCCCCCATAGGGGGTGGGGAGGGAGCCCCACCCACAGCTCAGCTCTGGCCCCAGCCGCAGCTCCTCTCTGCCTCCCAACCTAGCTCTGACCCCACAGCCCCAGCTGTGTCCCGCCCCCTGCTCCAGCCCCAGATGCAGCTCTGCCCTCAGCCTAGCTCTGCCCTCATTCCCTCTCCGCCCCCAGGCCAGCTCCACCCCCAGCCCAGCTTCGGTCCCAGCTGCAGCTCCACCTCTCCCCCAGCCCCAGCTCCTCCTTCAGCTCAAGCTTCTCTTCTGACCGATTCCGTTACTGATAAGTGGGGACACGACAGGAAAAGTTTGGGCACCACTGGTCTGAGCATTTCCATTTTTCAGTTGCTTATAACTGCCCCCGGGTTTTCCTTTTGTGTTCTTTCGGGGGGTGAGGGGAGAGGGGTTGTCTGAACTTTACTCTCTCAAGGGGAGGTTTTTTTCCTGAAAGTTTCAGCAAATCCACTTGACTATTTCTCTCGTGGTAGCACCTAGGAACTCCAGCCCAGAATTTACATGTCACCAAAAACTTGCCCAGCTCTAACTGGAAATAAGTCAAAGCTTCCAAGTGCCACCTTAACTCTGGTTTTCCTTCTCCTTCCTTTTGGTGTGGATCAGTGATGATCCAGTCTTTAGTTATATGATTCCCCTGCTGTGTTTTCCCACGAGACCCCTGCCTCATTCAGTGCCCAAAGAATGGGGCAGGGTTGTGTGATGAATTCCTGGGGTCCCCAACTTCTTGCCACGTTCGATGCACTAGTTGTATGGGGTGCCGTGACTGAGGTGGGGCTGAAGGGATGGGCTAAAGTGGAACCCAGGAGCTGTAGTTTCAGTTCCACACTTTGCTTTAACTAACTCGGGAACATTTCTGTATAATGTGACTCTGTGCTGCCCGGAGCCCTGTGAGCAGCACACATGGAATCAAGCTCTTTCCTTTTTCCGTGTTACAGGTTTTCATGTTGCGATACAAAGGCATCTCCGAGCACTGGATCGGCCTCTGGAGAGAGCAGGCGAGACAGCCCTGGAAATGGGTGAATGGCTCTGATCTCAACAGCTTGTGAGTCCTTTTTCTGTCTGTTTAGGTTCTGAACACTCGGTTGTGGGGCTGAATTCAGATGGAGCCAACGTTCACCATGTAAACCCTGAAATACTGATGGGGAGTGAGGGAAATCTGTATTGTCTCCGGGATTTGGGACTCACTCTCATATAGCTGAGACATGGATCAAGCAAAGCAAGGGATGCTGCGCTGTTAGGGGGATGGTAACACTAGAGTTGTTGAGAACTTTCCATTGAAGCTGTTTTATGGTGGAAAATTGGGAGTTTGATAAAATCTTCTCACAAAATGTCTTTTCATGGAAAATTTTGACTTTTTTATCAATCTCCTCCCCCCCGCCCCCCCAAAAACTGAAATATTTTAGCCCAAAATGCTGCCCATATACCTCATGGGAGTTGTAGCTTGGTTTCCTCATATCCCCAATCTCCCCCTTTATGGGCTGGGCTCTCGAACTGGACTACATGTCCCATGGTGCAGCATGGCCAAGGGACTCCATGGTGCACCACCTCCTCTCACCAGTAGAGCTCAGGGGCACCATGGGAAATGTAGTTTGAACATGGAGCTCAGCCTATAGAGAAGAATGGGAGTATGAGGCAGTTCCACTGCATCTCCCATGATGTATTGCCTCGTCTTGACCAGTAGTGAGACCATGGTGCACTCTGGGACATGTAGTCCAAATGGGGAACCCGGTCTATAGAAGAGAAGGGGAGCACAAGGCACCTGGACTACAGCTCCCATGAGGCCCCACGGCAGCCTTTCCAAATTGAATATTTTAAGTTGTGATTTTTTTTTTTTTTGTCAAACTTGTCCCGGCCGAATCCACCCACCTCAGCTCCTCCCACTCAGACTCCAGTCCCTGGAGAGCTGAAGGCCAGTTGCTTTGGAGAGTCTAGAGGGAGTTGGAGACTGAAGGAAAGGAGTGATATCTGGTCCGGGGCTGTACGTTTGACACCCGTGTCTTAGACTGAAACAACATCAAAAAGAGGGAGCAGAGTTTGCATGTGCGTCAGGATGACTGAACACAAAGTCTCCACAGATGGTGGAGTCCTTTGAGATTCAAGGGAAAGCAAAAGGCACCACCGTGTGTCAGTTCCACCACAGCTAACAGACCTCACGGTTTGAGTTATTCACACCGCAGTGACCGTCAGTACGAAAGGGGCCACAGAGAAACCCTCCTGAGTGGAGACTGACTCCCCTGCTCACTGCCACATGGGGCCACCTTCAGGAATTGGGTTCCTCGGTGCAGCCCGGCTAGGCCAGGTCCTACATGAGCCTGTCACGTAGCCAGGAGCACAGGAAGGCCCAGGCTGGTTCTGACCCAAGGTCCATTTGGCCCAGTCTCTTGTCTCTGTCAGTGGCCAGCGCCAGCTGCCCTAGAGGAAGGTGTAAGAACTAGAGCTGTCGGAATGAGTGATATTGTCGTTCGCTGGCTGAACTGAAAATTGGGAGCAGAAGAACCTGGATCAACCAGAAACGAAACATTTTCAGTTTTCTGGGCAAAACAAAGAGCCAGAGTTTTTACTTTCACGTCAAATGAAACTTTTTGTTCAACCCGAAACAAAATGTTTCCTTTCAGTTTCAGGCTTTTTTAAACCTTTTTTTTTTTTTTTTTTTTTAATTAAAAGCAAAGGAAATTTGTAAGCACCAGGCACAAACCCAATGGTGGTGTCCGTCCTCCATCCTCTGACCCCCGTACTCCCTAGCCCCTGGTTAGGGCACTCAACCTGGGTCTCCTGTATCCCAAATCAAGTCCTCACCCTGCCTGATTCAGAGTAGGGACTTGAACCTGTGCTTTCCTCATCCCAGATAAGCAGGCTAATGACCCGGTGGCTATCGGGTTTACCACCCGCTCTTTCTCCAGTTTTGTGAAGGGCACACAAGTCCCCTAGTCAATCTAGCCTGAAGAAAAAATTAATTTAGCTCCAAATGTTTCAGGTGACCTAAAATTGCATTTTTCGGTGACTAAACTCTTCATCTGAAACACGTCCCCTGGCTCTAGCTAGAAAATCCTTCCCACACGCACCTGCAATAGTAGATGTGGGCTCATTTGGCCCCCCTCACACATGAGGGAGAGATACAGTGATCCAGGCTGCAGGTGTTAGATCAGCTGTTCCCAAACTGGGGGTCACGCCGTCAGCAGATGGGGTGGCAGTGACCCCTAGTTTGTGGAGGGTACCACTTTGCTCCACATGACATCACCTCGCACGTAGAGATCCTGCGAGGGCACGGTGCACGGAGGACGCCATTTTGCTCTACAAAGTAGCATCCTCCACATGACATGACCTTGCATGCACCATAGGTCGTGCTGTGGGGCGGATGCCATTTTTGAGAGCAAAATGGTGTCCTCTGTGTGGCGTGACTCTGCACATAATGGTGCACAGGAGACCACGCTGTGCCATAGGTGCCGACTTACTCAGATCCCGGGGGGTGCTCGACCGCCACTCCACCCCAGGCCCTGCCCCCCTCCTCCCCCGGCCCCAACCTCCCCCCACACACCTCTTCCTGCCGCTGCTCCTCCCCCTCCCCCCAGTGCATCCTGCATGTCACTGAACAGCTGATCCATGGTGGGTGGGAAGCACGGGAGCTGATCTGTGGGACCACCGGGTGGGCAGGAGGTGCTGCAGGGGAGGGTGAGGCCCTGATCCGCAGGTGGCTGGTGGGTGCTGAACACCCACTATTTTTTTTTCCATGGGTACTCCAGCCCCAGAGCACCCACTGAGTCAGCGCCTATGTCCTATGTGGAGAACGCCATTTTGCTCTGCAAAATGGTGTCCTCCATGCTGCCTGGGGTCCTGGGAGGAAATAATTAATTAACATGGGGTCATGCTGGCAAAGAGTTTGGGAGCCCCTGCGTCAGGCGCATTCTCCCACTGGCAGTAACAGGACAGGCCCAGCTGCTGGCTGACGATGGCTTTATCGTTCGTTGCAGGTTCCTGATAGGAGGAGGAAACTGTGCGTACCTGAATGACAACGGCGTCAGCGCTTCAAGGTGCATCACCGAGAGAAACTGGGTCTGCAGCAAACCTGATGCGTATACAAGCCAGAAAAAACGCGATGCAGAGGAGTCGGGAGCTGAAAAGCCTCACAATGGGCTACTAGAGAAACTGCCTCTCGCACAACTGGTCAACAGCTGAGTTTATAAACAAGGGCTGAAGAATAAAATAGCAAAATTTGCACTGGACGCTGGATTATTAGATTAATCAAACTGAAAAACAACAGGAGGAACTTCAGCAGGATCTGGCCGCGTGAGAGGAACGGGCCACTCACCGGCAAATGAAACAATGTGACAAATCTATAAAGGGTCCAGCGGAGGAAGAATTAGGCATTACTCATCCATCTTCGTAGGTGCTAATGCAATTGCAACAACTCAGGAGACGGAGAGGGATGAACTGCTGACCCCATTGAAATCTATGCACATTTTCCCTTTCAATTCAAGGAGGCCAGCATCTCCCCCAGGGGAGTCGTTGTAGATCGCCCAGCGCAGACCTCGGCTGAGCGTGCAGCAGCTGATGACAAAGCAAACAAGATGTTGGGATATATAAGGAATGCACGAGGTGACAATACAGAAAATGCTCGGATGTCATTATATGAATCAAAGGGACACCCTGATGGGGAACACTGTGTCCAGTACGGGTCACCCATCTCCAAAAGGACGCCGCAGAACTAGAGGAGGTTCAGACACCGGTAAGAAGAACGATGGGAGACCAGGTGGGACTTTGTCAGAGAATAAGGGGACGTGAACAAGGGAGATTAGGGTGCTGCTATTCAATCCATCTCTTGCTACAAGACCAATGGGGCCGCATAACAGAATTGAAAAATTAGCCAATTTGAAACTGATCGAAGGACCATGTTTTCCCACAACGCACAGTTAGCCTGCGGAACTCACTGCTACAGGGTGTGATTGAAGCCAAGAGCTTGGCAGGATTTATTTTTAAAAGGACTGGGACATTGGATACTGTTGTTCACACAAGAGAGGAAATGGACAGGAGTTTGGGAAGGGATCCAAACCTTCCTTCTTCAGGGCATGAACCACCATCTAAATAATGAAGATCAGGAGGAAACGTCTCCATTTGGTTTGTTATTCCGACATTGTCCACTAAGATGTCTCTTGACCTGTCTTCTGAAGCTGCTGGTGTGGGCCACGAATGCACTACAGCTCTGAATTAGTCTTGCAGTTACTATGTAAATTGCCTCTACCCAGTGACCTCGTCCTTTAATGGCTCTTCCTGAGCCAAAGACGAGTCCTGCTGCTTTTAGAAATGAATTGAGCCTTAGTTTTGCTTCCTGGGGCAGGACCCCTGGGCTGTGTGGATTTTTGCCGAGCAGTGCGGCTGGATAGCAGCAGATCTCCAAGATGTCCTGAACCGACCTTCCAGCCCTTGGGCTCCTTTTCAGTGGAGTAATTTTCCTGCTGGAGCTGCCCAGTGCTTGGGAAGGAGCATTTAAGAGCGTGCTCCTAGGCTCAATTGTAGATTATCCACATGGAATTGCTTCGTTTGATCTCATTTATCTTATTTATTATTAGGATGACAGATCTAAATAGCTGATAAGTCGGCTGTTAGCTGCTATTAAAACAACCTTCTCTCCTTCTCCAAAAAGGGGTGCGGACAGGGGGCTCTGACACTATTAATACAGCCCAGAGAAATGGGAAACCGGCCTGACTGAACTCGGCCAGTTCTCTCCTGATCAGAGCTTAAATCCCTTGGACAAATGACCCAACCATGAAAACGCCATAGGTCGCAGTGTCAGGAATGTCTCCCAGCTGCGCTGCTACTTTTACACTGGTCCTGATTGGGCCAGTTTGAAACTGATGTGAGGAGGATTAGACAAAGCAGAGCAGCTAAAGGACTAAGGGAACGATCTTGATTTAAAAATCCATTTAAACCCAGGCTTGATAATTAAAAACATAACACGAATGCAGTCACAAAACCAAAACAGCCCCACACCCCACATCCAGCAACTCGTCAGGAAATCCTGTCACAGATTGAATCAGTCCCCGCCAGGGCCGCCCGGGGGGGGGGAGCAAGTGGGGCAATTTGCCCTGGGCCCCGCAGGCATCTCTTTCCTGGCTAGAGGCGCCTCACCCGGCGGCAGTCCAGGACTTCGGTGGCAGGGGGGCCCTTCAATTGCTCTGGGTCTGCGGCAGCATTTTGGCGGCGGGGGGGGCCCTTCAGTGCTGCCGAAGACGCGGAGCGCCACCCAGTGAGTACAAGCGCTGCAGTGGGTGGTGCCTTTTTTTAGGTCCTCTTTGCCCCAGGCCCCCTGAATCCTCTGGGCGGCTCTGGTCCCCGCCACTCCTCACCTCCCTTAAAGCAGCTGTTCCCCTCCACCCCCAATGCCAGCTCACACCGATGGGGTTTTGCAGCATAGCCCGAGTTTGATTCAGCCTATTTCACAGCTTGGGGGTGGGAAGGAGCGAATTCCAGACACAAAGGATGGAGGAATAGTTGGACTTGAAGCAGCCCTGACTGAGGCAGAAGTAGATAAGTGATCTTAAGAGCGATGGGGCTTAGGCGTTTTCCAAGTAGTGCTGTTGGCACTGGAGTAGGAAACTCCCCAAAGGCCTGTATGAAACTGCCACCCCCAAATTCTCCAAGTCCCCAGAAGGCACATGGTTTGGTAGCCTCCAAAATTCCCACACTAGCACCCCATCAATTAGTCTGGTGCGAATCCCATGGGCAAGAAGCTGTTTCTTTTAAGACAGTTGAGTTACCAGAAGCCCAGTTGAGTCTCTACTCATCTGGCCCTGACGCTTTAGTAGCTGAATGCCGCCCAGTCATTAAGGGATCTTCTCATCAGAGCAGGTAGGGAGCCAGGGGCTGGGACTAGATGACCTTTTGAGGTCCCTTCCAGGCCCACAATTCTATGACATGTTAATCTCAGTAACAAAGCACAAGGTGAATTAATTGACTTGCCTAAGATCACAGAGGAAATCTAAAACTGCGAATTGCACCCAAGTCTTCCTACTCCCCGTCTAATGCCCGTTCCACTAGACCATTCAGAATGAAGCAGTGACTGTGCCTTGCTAAGGGTCACAAGAGACTCCTACATTTTAAGATGCCCCTAGACAATTGACAAGGCATCGGGGAATCCTCAGACTGGCCTAGGGAACGACCTGTTACTCATGACCTAGAAGAGAACATAAACCAGACGCACAACACTTTGCACACGGAGCAATGTACCAAGGCTCGTGGTGGATTCTCCATCACTGACAATTTTTAAATCAAGATTGGATGTTTTTTGAAAAGATCTGCTCTAGGGATTGTGATGGGGGGCGTTCTCCGGCCTATGTTATCCAGGAGGTCAGACAAGCTGATCACAATGGTCCCTTCTGGCCTTGCAATCTATGAACCTTAGTCCTGATTTAAAATCTGAACTCCAGAGAACCTGGCTGTCTAGAGCCACACGACACAACTGCATTAAACTTCTTAACGGTGGAATTTTTAAAAACACCACAGTTACTTGAGTTGTGCTGGAAAATAGAGGTAGTTGGGTATTTTTCAACAAGCTGTTTTTCACTGAAAAATGCCAAGTTGTCAAAAATTAGACGATTAGGAAAAGAGGGTTGGTTTCACTGAATCTCCTGACTCCAAATTTATTGGAGGAAAAATATTTTCAATTTTTTTTAAACAAAATGTTTTGACACATTCAAACCAGAATGTTTTGGGGCTTTTGAGCCGGAACAACATTTTCTTTTGACATTTTTAGGAATGTTAAACGTGAAAAAAGGTCACCATCAAAACATTTTGAAATTATCGAAACCAACGGTTTCATTGGATGCAGAATGAATTTTTGGTTTGGTTTATTGACTCTTGACAATTTTCTAGAGTTTGACTCTTCATCTTGATTTGGGATGGGATAAAATTTTGAAATCTGCCAAATTCTCATGGATGGGAAAGGAGTTTCCCACCTAGTTCCACTCCAAAGCCACCCAGACACTTTTGAAAATCACATCCTCTGGGCCCACTTGTGTAGAACGAGGCATCTCCAAGCTCTGCCTATACACCAGCTCAGCTGAGTCTCCAGGGTTGGCAACTCCTGCAATTTTTTGGCACTGTATTTGTTGCTTTTCGGCAAACCCCGGTTCTTGGAATGAGCTGATCTGAGATCCTCAGCTTTCTGCTGTGTTATTTTTTTAAGCAAGTTTCTAGCCCCCAGTTTCATGGCGTAAAGCTTAAAATGGTGACTCAAGTTCTCCTGAAATACTCACAAACCAGAAGGCAACAAAAAAGAACCCAACATTTTTTAAGCACATTTCATTTCTTTCATGATTTTTGTACATCTGGAGTTGACAGTAGTGGGTCTCGGGCTGTCACAGACTTGTAGATTCCAAGACCAGAAGGGATCTCTGTGAGAATCTCAGCTGACCTGTATAACACAAGCCGTAGGACTGCCCTGGATTAATCCCTGTTGGAATCAGAGCAGATCTTCTAGAAAAACATCCAATCTTGATATTAAAAATTGCCCGTGATGGAGAATCCACCATGACCCTTTGTAAATTGTTCCAATGGTTAATTATCCTCAGTTAGAAATTTGCACTATTTCTAGACAGAGTCTGTTACCTGTTTACAGGTATTTATTGCACTATATACTCATTTGATTACAAGGTGTAAGAAGTAGGTAACAAGCTTACTAGTATGCAAATATTAGTTAGTGTTCATATCCTTTATCTGTAGTTCTACATGTGTCTTTGCCTCACTGTATATTCATGGCTATTTCCATTAGTTGCCTCTTTGAAATTAAATACAATTTAATCCTCTTGTTCAAAATGGACTGGGGAGTTGTGAATAAAGCAGATTTCACTGTCACACTGACTCCACTTGGACAGCCTCTGTCATTATCATAATTGGACTGAACCATTTTTTGCCTTTGCTTAGACTTCAGCAAAAAAAATTCACCTTTAGGCAGGAGCTCAGACATGACAGTTTTCAGCCCAAAAGGAAGAGTTCAGTAGGTGGTGAGCTCGAGGAGTCAGTGATATTCTCATGAACTCCGTCAACAAAAATGAACTCTGCCCATTCCGCATGCCAGAATGAGAAGCCACTCTCAGGAGCTGGTGCACATGTTCAAAAGGTGATCATGCCATGCATGATCCCTGGACTCCCTGGGTTTAGATAAAACAAGTTTATTATAGAAAAATATATTTTAAGTGACTACAGGTAATGAGGCATAAAAGTCAGAATTGGTTACAAAGAAAATAAAAAGATAAACCACATGCTAATACTCAACAAGCTAAATGAACTTTAAAGCAAAACATTTCTCTCACCATAAGCGTCCAGCAGTCTGGCTGGATTGCTTCAGCCAGGACCTCCCACACAGTTCAATGATGCTTCCTTTGTCTTTCAAGGATTGTAGCTGCGATGAGGGGAGAGAAGTAATTTGTGTTGTGTGTATTCTCTATTTTTAAACAACTCTCCCTCCTTTGAGGATTATCTCCAGCTGGGATTCAGGCAACAGCCAGTCTGTTTACACAGGACGTCCAACTGTTTCCGTTGCCAATATTTAAAGTTCTTGCTCACACTCTTCTTTCTGCCAAAGAATGGCCACTTAACTAGATGATAGTCCATGATAGTTCATTTGATTATGCTGATATCTGCCTGGGGCACCAGTGTGTCTTTGTCTCTGAAGAACAGGTTTGGGCCTGATTTTCTAACTCTGGAGTATGTCATAGCGATGTTATGCAGTAGAATCTTATAAATGTACAAACAATGATACTTCAAATATTTTACCTGGACAATAATGTTCAGCAGATTATGAGTTCTCAAATGATAACGTACAAGGCATACTTTGTACAAAACTTATCA